GTTCGAGTGTGTGGCATGAAAGATTAGGCCATGTAAATTATAATACAATGAAAAGAATGATGAGTTTAGAGCTAATCCCAANTACCCCTACTGATTTGCGGCTATCCCAGGCAAGCATTTAATGAGTCCTCAGTGATGGGACATCTACAGTAGCCTGGAAAGCCGAGGACATGGAGTATTAAATACTCTGGGCTCCAAGCATTTAAAGTCCTTGCATTGAAGAAAGAGAATTAACTGCTNGCTAATCCCAAAATCTGAAATTAAAATTCAAGGAAAATGTGAAATATGTGTTCAAGCAAAACAACCTAGAAAGTCTTTTAAATCGGTAGTTAAAGAAAATCAAATTTAAGATACCTTAAAGTGTGGGGGTGTCTAGCTAAAGTGAGTGTTTCAAAGAATAAAAAACGAAAGCTTGGACCTAAAACCATTGATTGTGTTTTTATACGCNGTGTCTAGCTAAAGTGAGTGTTCCAAAGAATAAAAAACGAAAGCTTGGACCTAAAACCATTGATTGTGTTTTTATATACNACTACAGAACATGGAGTAACAGAGAGAGGAAGTCCAAGGAACTACCCTTGGATCTCTGGTTTCTCAAAACAGAGACAAAAGGGGATCTAGAAGGTGACCAGTAGCCAAAAATGCAAAAAAAAAGAGGGGAGCGAACAAGGGAAGAGACGAAGACTCACCAAAAACTAGATAGACAAACTGGGACTTGAGGAAACGTTTTTCTTCTTTAACAATTACTGGAAAGGATGCGGTGGAGGTTTTTCTACTCTGGTGGTGACTAGAAAAAGGGGAGTTATGGTTTTGTACAACGGCATCTCTCCGATGGATTCTCCGGCAAAAGTTCTATNAAGATAATGAAGAACCTAGGAGGAGTAAAAGAAGAAGAGTTGAAAAGAATTTTGGTAAAGATTTTTACACTTTTATAGTACAAGAAGATCCCAAGACATATAATGAAGCAATGACATCTATTGATACACCTTTTTGGAGAGAAGCAATAGATAGTGAAATGAATTCTATTATGTGTAATAGGACTTGGGTGTCAACAGATTTGCCTCATGGTAGTAGACTGATAGGTTGTAAATGGATATTTAGGAAAAAGTTGAGAACGGATGGATCTATAGACAAATTCAAAGCAAGATTGGTTGCTAAAGGGTTTAATCAAAAGGAAGGAATTGACTTTTTTTATACCTATTCTCCTGTAACAAGAATAACAACCATAAGAGTTTTAATGGCTACTGCTTCAATATATTANGACTTTTTTTATACCTATTCTCCTGTAACAAGAATAACAACCATAAGAGTTTTAATGGCTATTGCTTCAATATATTACTTAGAAATTCATCAAATGGACGTTAAAACTGCATTTTTGAATGGTGATCTAGACGAGGAGATTTATATGGAGCAATCCGAAGGATTTGTAGTACCAAGTCAAGAAAATAAAATGTGTAAGTTGGTCAAATCTATTTACGGTTTAAAACAGGCTTCTAAACAATGACATGAAAAAATTGATAAAGTAATACTCTCAAATGGTTTCATNTAAAACAGGCTCCTAAACAATGGCATGAAAAATTCGATAAAGTAATACTCTCAAATAGTTTCGTNTAGTACCAAGTCAAGAAAATAAAATGTGTAAGTTGGTCAAATCTATTTACGGTTTAAAACAGGCTTCTAAACAATGACATGAAAAAATTGATAAAGTAATACTCTCAAATGGTTTCATTATAAATGATTCGGATAAATGTCTTTATTCTAAAATAACTGAGAATGAGTGTGTAGTACTTTGTCTCTATGTGGATGACATTTTGATTTGTGGAACCAATGAAAATGTGATTTGTGAAACTAAAAATATGCTTTCAAATAATTTTGATACGAAGGACTTGGGCCTTGCTGATGTTATATTGGGAATAAAATTAATAAGAAATAAATATAAGATTATTTTAACTCAATCTCATTATGTTGAAAAATTGTTGAAAAATTTTAATTATTTTGAGTATAAACCAGTGAACACACCATATGATCCACATGTACACCTAAAAAAAAATTAGGTAAAAGTGTATCACAACAAAAATATTCACAGGTTATTGGATCATTAATGTATTTAACTAATTGCACTAGGCCTGATATTGCTTATGTCGTCAATAGGCTAAGTAAATATACTTCTAATCCCAATCAAGAACATTGGAAAACTATTGAAAGAGTATTTCGATATTTAAAAGGTACCTTAAATTATGGTCTTCATTTTCCAGGGTACCCAGCAATATTGGAAGGATTCAGTGATGCTTANTAGGCCTGATATTGCTTATGTCGTCAATAGGCTAAGTAAATATACTTCTAATCCCAATCAAGAACATTGGAAAACTATTGAAAGAGTATTTCGATATTTAAAAGGTACCTTAAGTTATGGTCTTCATTTTCCAGGGTACCCAACAATATTGGAAGGATTCAGTGATGCTTATTGGATCTCGGATTCGGATGAAACTAAAGCTACTAGTGGCTATGTTTTTATGTTTGGTGGTGAAGCTGTGGCTTGGAAGTCAACAAAGCAAACTATTATATCTCAGTCAACAATGGAAGCAGAATTTATTTCATTAGATTCAGTTGCAACAGAAGCTAAATGGCTAAAGTGTTTATTATCAGATATACCTCTTTGCAGTAAGCCTATTCCAACAATTTCTCTACATTGTGACAATCAAGCTACAATTGTTAAGGCGAAGAATTCCAATTACAATGAAAAAAGGAGGCATATACGGATCCATCATAATTCTATCAAACAGTTGCTTAGTCAAGGAGTGATTGCACTTGACTTTGTGAGGTCCAAAAATAATTTGGCAGACCATCTTACCAAAGGGCTAGCAAAGAGGCTAGTTCAAAGTNGGATCCATCATAATTCTATCAAACAGTTGCTTAGTCAAGGAGTGATTGCACTTGACTTTGTGAGGTCCGAAAATAATTTGGCAGACCATCTTACCAAATGGCTAGCAAAGAGGCTAGTTCAAAGTTTATCGAGGGAAATGAGATTGAAGCCTATAAGTTAGTCATTGCAGTGGACACCTAATCTCTGTGATTGGAGATCCCATGAAAGAGATTCAATAGGTAAGAACGAAACTGTAACAAGACTATGTTGAACNTCGAGGGAAATGAGATTGAAGCCTATAAGTTAGTCATTGCAGTGGACACCTAATCTCTGTGATTGGAGATCCCATGAAGGAGATTCAATAGGTAAGAACGAAACTGTAACAAGACTATGTTGAACACTGAATTGTAACAAGGGAAATTCCCTAGTCCCATTTCTAAGGTGATAGTGCTCTAAACTATGATGGTGATAAGAAGGAGTAAATTTCTTAATGAGCCCAAGGCAAATTTCTGCAAGGTGTTGGTCACAGAACATCCTTGGAGGGTTCACCTATATGTGTGTTTGTAATGAGGCCGCTACTATGGGATGTAGGCTAATCCCAAATGAAACACTCGTGAAAATCAAGATACTCGCGCATGGTCGTAAAAGCATAAAACTGATTAGAACTTGATCTAATACCTGTACCGTGTGTGTGAGAGTAGACACCTGAATTAAAGAGCCTAGTTCAAGATTTGTTCATTATGGTTCTTCAGATAGAAGCTCGTTAACGCTAAGTGAAGGNTAATCCCAAATGAAACACTCGTGAAAATCAAGATACTCGCGCATGGTCGTAAAAGCGTAAAACTGATTAGAACTTGATCTAATACCTGTACCGTGTGTGTGAGAGTAGAAACCTGAATTAAAGAGCCTAGTTCAAGATTTGTTCATTATGGTTCTTCAGATAGAAGCTCGTTAACGCTAAGTGAAGGATTAAGTCTGGAAGATACCAATCACCTACTGCATGGTATTGTTGCCCAATTTATTTTTATTTAATTTTAAATCATGTGGGGGATTGTTAGTATATGTGATTTAAAATTAAATTTTATTATCATTTATTCATATTAATAATTTCAGCCGCACATTTATTTTATGATTATGATTTTAAATAATTTTAATTTTTGATTGTTGAAATTCTTTAGAGGGAGTTATATGTAATAACTACATATATCATTAATACATATATACTTACATTGGAGTTACTAGCCGTTGAAGCCAAGCATTTCATATATATATATATATATATATATATATATATATATATATATTCATATAGCCTTAAAGGATAATGGTTATCCATTAATATATAAATAAACATGTGATCTATCTTCCTTTAATATAGAAAAATATATTTCATATACATATTCTCCTTCATTTTTTACTAATTTTGGTGTGTTTTGTGGGCAACTTGGGTGAGATCAGTTCGTTATAGAGAAGTTCATGTCTACACCGTAGCTTCTCTCGGATTGTTGTATTTTGAAAAAAGAACGTCTGAAAACTCTGTGCGGAGGGGACATATCTTTTCTTAAGACAACGTTCATTTCGCTCTTCAATTCAGGCTATTTTAAACTTATTTTTGATCTAAGTTTCATTGAGTTTATTTGATATATTTGCATGTTTATTTAATTTATGAATCTGTGATTTTATGTTTTATTTTGAAAGAGTTTGTTCGTCACTGAATTGATAAGAAATGTTAATAAAATTTTGAAGTTAAAACTGCACTAGTTAATACCTACATATATACACCACATAATATATGTATTTCAAATCACTNGATCTATCTTCCTTTAATATAGAAAAATATATTTCATATACATATTCTCCTTCATTCTTTACTAATTTTGGTGTGTTTTGTGGGCAACTTAGGTGAGATCAGTTCGTTATAGAGAGGTTCATGTCTACACCGTAGTTTCTCTCGGATTGTTGTATTTTGAAAAAAGAACGTCTGAAAACTCTGTGCGGAGAGGATATATCTTTTCTTAAGACAGCGTTCATTTCGCTCTTCAATTCAGGCTATTTTAAACTTATTTTTGATCTAAGTTTCATTGAGTTTATTTGATATATTTGCATGCTTATTTAATTTATGAATCTGTGATTTTATGTTTTATTTTGAAAGAGTTTGTTCGTCCCTGAATTGATAAGAAATGTTAATAAAATTTTGAAGTTAAAACTGCACTAGTTGATACCTACATATATTCACCACATAATATATGTATTTCAAATCATTCTCTCTTTTGAACAAAAGAGAAGTTATTTCTCTTCCATTTGGTTAGTAGAAGAATCTTTTTTGTTTTTAATCAAATAACAATAAATAAATAAGGATATAGAAAAAGCCAGCGTGGTAGGCTGCAGAAGAAACTATACTGCACGCACGCATCACCGGCTAATTCATCAACCTTCCTAAACTACTTAACCCGATTGCCAACTGGGAATTACAAATTAATCACCTTGATTTAAGATTCATCATCATTATTTAAATATAAACATAAAGCCTTGCTAGTTGGTTTGCATCACATCACATCACACACACATCCCAGAATAATGATGAGATATAAATAATATTACAATTTTTGTTATAAAAAAAAACACACACACAACCAAGAACAGCATTAATTATAAATATTACAAGAAAAAACAGTACTCTGTCATGACAACTGGATCGTCGTTTGATCACCTCTCTGGGTCTATTACCGGTGAAACAACGGACAGCTTAATCTGGTTTGAAGGATTGGGCTCCTTAGAACTACACACATCGGAGATGAAGACGGAGAGCCAGACAATGATTGGAGTAACAAAGAGTATGAGACCGAAAGGCACCATCCACAGCTGACTATTTGTAGGGTGATACCTCAACTCCCACCAACCCAACATCATCCCACCTATCATGCTTAACAAAAATGACCCCAAGCAAGCTATGAATGCCTTCACAATCTTCTCAAACTCTTTGTACCTAATAATTACACCATCATGCCTCTCTTCCTTATTGTATGATCCCATCCCATCCAAATAATTAAAACCCGAAGAGAAGGATTCCTCTCGTTAATTTACCCTGAAATTCAGAAACAAATCAAAGTCCCCCAAAGTATCATTACTAATTAACTTCATAGTAAAGTAAAAACAAAGAAAAAAGTAAATACCTTGATTGAGATGATGATGAAGAAGAAGAAAGAGAAGAAGAAGAATATTAAGAAGAAAGAGGGTGGTGTATTAAAACGGCAGTCTATTTATAGCCGTATCAGAGAAAGTATACATGTTGGGGAGTGGCAGAAAATGCTGGGGAAGGTATGCTATACTGGGGAGAGATAGCCGAAGATCAAGACAGTGGAGTGTTTGGAAGGTTAAGATCTAACTCCTAACTCTTAAGGCGATCGAAAGTCCCATGACCAGACGCTCCTAAATTGGATTTTGCTACTCCTACAAGTACCTCCTCCGATTGAGCTTCCATCAGACGTGCCTTTTTATCAAAGTTGTTGACAGTAAATACAGTGAGATATATAAAGGCAAAAAAAAAATGATTGCGTCTCAGTCTTTACCACTGCGGGTTGGAGCTATCTGGGGTAGATTCCATTGTTTAATGTAGGTATAGGTATACTACTTTTTCTTTGACAAGTGGCTTGTATGTTTGTTAGGAGGGAGAATATAAATAAAGAAAGGGAATTATACCTGAATTGGTTTAGAATTAGATATATAGCTGCTGTATTTTAGCAATTATGTACTCTACACAAAGACATTCCGTCCATTTTGGACCTAAAACTTGGATTTTGTGTTTCACTTCATTGCATGAGATTGGCTACAAATTTTAGCCATTAAGCATCAAGAAAAATGAAAAAATGACCATCAAAAGTATAAGAAAGTCGTGGGCACTACTATCAACTCACTGGAATGAAATTTCCCTAGTCATTTAGCTTGTAAATTATGGTTTCAAAGAGGCCATAAGGTTTCTAACCAAACAAACTGTTTGATCATGTATGATCAAACTCAGTGATAAGATCATCAATACACGATAACTTACCACACTTGATCTATTTGATGAGTCCTATAGATCTGATTGTTTTCATTCTAAAATGGTCTCATTTTGCTTTAGATTCTGTCAGCATATAGATTGGAGTAATTTTAGTTGTTGGAGTCACATCAGATCAAATAAATGATTTAACCGAAAGGAAGAGCAAGTAAAATAATGTTCTTAATACCCAAAGGTGAATGGAGGGAATCAGGTAGCTTCGCACCCTGTTGATAACCAACTCAGGTTTTAGTAGAAAGGGAAAGGGTGTATTGGGGGTGATGCAATTGGGAAAGTCAAACTTCAATAGATAAAATGTGTTGTGGTTGATTTTATCTTGGGACGCATTGAAGCTGGGTAGGATGATCTATTGACCGGACTACATTGTCCCCCCTCCCCTGTAACTAGAGCAATGCACTTGTATGGGAAGAGTATAATGCTGGTAGTTCCTAGGAACAGAAATCTTACATCCGTGCACCAGATGAAGGAACATTTCAGAAAACTTCTGAAAGCCGCCCCCCCCCCCCCTAAAAAAAATTATAATAAAAAAAAACCCAAAAAAAAAAGAAGCAGAGAAGATTAAGACTATAGTTGTAGATATTAGGAGCAGTGCATCAACAATCAGATGTCCCCAATTTAGTTATATATACAGTAGGGGGGTCAAGTCCAGTGGAACAGCACACTGGAGAGCCACAGATGCAATCTCTATTCTAAGGCTCTACAATTGTATTGTATGGCTTATTTGCTCTCCAACAAATTTCTGACAATTTTTTTTAACTATACTTAACTCGAGGATCCCGATTAGTTTTGAAACTAAATGGCCAAATTAGGTCAAAAAAGAGGCGAACAGAAGGAGCACCTTTTTCAGCCTGCTGGTCCAAATTTTTGTGAGTGGCCCAGCTAAACTATGTATGTGGTCTGGACTTTTGAGGACCAAACTTGAAGTTTGCTTTCCATCTCGGGGGCTCTGGGCCTTGTGAGATGTAGAAATGGTCAAGGAGATGACTACAAAGCACGTGGGCCATTTTAAACACAAAATTTTCTTATGATTAATAGTTTTTGTCGGTGATTATTATTTAGGCCACTGGGCTGGTGAATTACCTCAAAAGTCCCCTTTGCTAGCAATACTCATTCACCACCACCGCCCTAGCTCGGGTAGCAGCCCCTGTCCTCCTAGATTAAGTGTCAGACATTTTATGAGACTTGTGGGAGGTAAGGATAAGCCTTAATCCAGTCTAAAATATAATTCCGTCCTTCCCATATATTTAGCCCTCTTTCCTTAGCAATAGACTTTATTTGTTGCAATAAATCAAACTAGAAAAAGGGGGAAAAATAAATAAAAATACATTCGCACACGATAAACCTCAGATGAGTATGAAATTTTTTTTTATGCAAGTCATTAAACAAAAATGCCAAAATTTGACCCCAAAAAAAAATAATAATAGTATAAATGTCAAAAGTTCTAAGCCCTTTGTACCATATCCTATCCCAAATAGGAGAGTGAATACCAATATGTTTTTGACCAAAGGGAATTCACCATTGGTGATATGGCCTTGTCCATAACTCCAACCAACAGTACCGAACTGGTAGTTGTTGGGAGTTGGTTTTTAAATGCCAAAAAGCCACCACCACCTAAATGATGTGGCAAATTCAGACAATGTACGACATAACCACGCGGCTCCAGCTAGTTGTGTAGCTCACTGGACCTTTCGGGGGCTTTTTGTAGATTAATTCTTGCCTGTCCTCCAGAAAGCTCTTATTTAGTATCGAAAAGGTGGTGTATTGACATACCAGTTAAACTTCTCTTGAAGTTAGAAATTTCAGTCTTAGAGTTTATATTGGAACTCGATGGTTGATCGCTATACTATCTGTCATGATGTTAAATTATAATCAAATATTTTGTCTTGTGATGACACTGAAATTCAACACTCAATCTCAACTAATGCACACAATCGCTCACAAAAGCACACAAAGAACATAATATAGGAGCGACATTTAAGAGAGATCTAGCAGGAGCTAAGCCACAAGAATGAGGCGGTGAAAAATAAAGCTCCGATGACTATGGATGCTCTGGTTCAGCAAACAGAGTCAACATTCACCCCTGAGGTGCTACACTTTTCACTTTCCCATAAATTCAAAATGCCCTAGATAGAAACATTTGACGTGACGAGGGATTTTATGGACCATCTTAACACATACAAGAATCAGATGGAACTACATAGATACCATCATATAGTGCGCTATCGAGCCTTTGCCATTACTTTGAAGGGCTCGACCTTGGCTTGGTTCAATAGGACAACCCCAGCTTTAATTTTCTCTTTTAGAGAACTCTCCTTCTCATTCATATCCCACTTCATAGGGGCTCTCCCGAACTTTTTGAAAGCCTTCCTACCACCTGTTGAGTGTGAAGTAGGGTCCAAATGAATCATTGTAGAGTTGTGTCCAGAAATTTAACTTGGAGCCCTTGAAAGTAGATACCCTCGATGAGAAGTTCACCCTCACAACCTTCACTCGCCGAGCTGGGGGTCCAATCGAAAGATTTACTATTTTTGATTGCCAAGAACCCCCAAGCCAGTATGACTGAGGTATTGGTAAAAGTAGAAGTATATCAACGGTAAGGAAGCCTTCCTCTCAAAAGCTGAAAACTCATTTACTTAGGGGGAAAAGGAAAAGAAAAGGGATCAGAGTCGAGATCGGTCACCACAGAGAGGAGGAGATCCTTCCCCAAAGAGGAGAGGTGACATTAGAGACTGCCTAGGTCTCCCTCCTCAAGAGCTACAACCGAAATATGCCCCACGATAGTTCATTCCCCTCAACGCCACGATATCACAATTGTTGTATGAGGTCCAAAATGAAAAGTTCTTGAGGTAGCCACCTCAGATGAAAGTGGATCCCCACAAGCGAGATGCAACGAAATACTATGAATACCATCGAGATCATGACCATCGTACTGATGATTGTATCCAATTAAAAAAGGAGATTGAGTTTCTGATGTTGTGAGGTTAGTTGCGTCGCTTGTAATGCAAGACAATCAAAACTAAGCTAACCCACCTTCTGCTCCACAGCAGCAAGCATCGCCTTAACATCAACAACCCATGAGTGAAATCAAGGTTATCTCTGGAGAGTTTATCGGAGGTGGGGAGACAAGCTCAATAAGGAAAGCCCACATGAGGAAGGCTTGAGCAGAAGATGTAATGGAGGTCAAATTTGTGCTTAAGTCACCTCGACTAAGCATGGACATTACATTCTCAGATTTAGATCTGAAGGGTTGCCAACTCCCTTATGATTATCCTTTGTTTGTAAAGGCCATTATAGTCGACCAAACTATCCACTGAGTTCTTATCGATAATGGTAGCTCATTTAACATCATTTTGCGTCAGCCTTTGAAAAGATGGGCATTGGCATAGACAAGATTGAGCCAATAAAAACCCACCTGCTCGAGTTCTCGGGGGAAATGGTGCTCCCCGTGGATCCATCCAACTTGTCCTCATGATGGGAGACCCCTATGTTAGTCTATAACTACAGTACGTTTCTTGGTGATGAATGCCCCTTCANCCTTGCTAGTTGGTTTGCATCACATCACATCACACACACATCCCAGAATAATGATGAGATATAAATAATATTACAATTTTTGTTATAAAAAAAAACACACACACAACCAAGAACAGCATTAATTATAAATATTACAAGAAAAAACAGTACTCTGTCATGACAACTGGATCGTCGTTTGATCACCTCTCTGGGTCTATTACCGGTGAAACAACGGACAGCTTAATCTGGTTTGAAGGATTGGGCTCCTTAGAACTACACACATCGGAGATGAAGACGGAGAGCCAGACAATGATTGGAGTAACAAAGAGTATGAGACCGAAAGGCACCATCCACAGCTGACTATTTGTAGGGTGATACCTCAACTCCCACCAACCCAACATCATCCCACCTATCATGCTTAACAAAAATGACCCCAAGCAAGCTATGAATGCCTTCACAATCT